GGGGGGTGGGGTGGGGGCGAACACCCCCACCCCTTTTTTTTTTTTTTGGGGGGGGGGGGGGGGACGACACAGAGAATGCTGCTTCAGCAGTTTCTTTTTTGACCTGATGGTGCACCTCTCTAGATAAAATAAATGGTGGAATTTCCTGCCCTGACCTCTCCTCTAGCTCCACCACCCAAAGATTAAAGAGAAATGCATAATCTCCAAAAGAACATGCCATCAGTGGTGTATGTTAGAGCAATCATCAAACACTTACTGAGTATGAAATCTGTCTTCAAACTTCTCTCAAGGTCCACCCACAGCCCTGACCAGTCTTATAAAACAGTCTTTCAAGAACATGAATGGGGTCTGAGTCATCAGTTTCCCAGCTACTGACAAGTACAGTTGCTTCATTTCTATTACTGAAAGCCTCCTTTTTTTAAAGACTGGTCCGTGCTTCAGACATTCCTTGCCAAGAGTGCAATAACAATTCTTAATAGTTGGAATTCCCACTCAGTTACTATTATTTTGTCATCTGGAGATACCATGAGAAAATCTTGATTTGGAGATAATTAATCCAATCATATCATCTTCCAAGAGGCGTCTTACATTTTCCTCACACTTTACTGTTCCTTGTATTACAGACGAGCATGCTGGGGCAGCTGGGGGGGGCAGCTGTGCAGCAGTCAACTCATACTGGTTGTGTGAAAGTTGTTTATATGCACAGGGACTCCAATGCAGCTATGCCAACCCCAGTGGGGTAGCTGACCAGTAATAAGGAATAGAAGTCTCCATAAATAGGTCTCAGACCTAAGCGTTGGGAAGATGATACCAAATACACCTTGCATAGGTCTAACTCAGTCATCCTCACGCTGCCACTGAGAAATGCATCTCATTCCCACCGTGTACATGTCACACACTGAAATAATGTTATGTCATTGCCCTTATAATGATACCGGGCACGTCCAGAAGCACTTTTTGAAGCATACGCCTGAGAATATCCCTAGGCATAGGGATCTGAAAATGTGAACATACAACATGTTTTCTGCATGTAGCACTAAGTAGAGCAGAAATGAGTGGCTTTTTCCATGGTGGACTTGGATCACTGAAGATATTATAGATGTACCTTATGAGAAGAAGAAAAAAAATAAAAGAGTATGTGAAACATAATTTTGGTGGGTTCCATAAAGTCTCTTAGGACATTCTACTGCTGCAATGGGTGCTATATTAATTTAAAGACTATTCTAAATTACACAGGGCAATAAGAGCTATTTTATACCAAATGCTGAATAGAAGATGCCCTAAATTAGCTGCTGCTAATGACTCCCTACTTTTCACAAGACAAGCAAAATGTTCCACTTACACAGCTAGCAGTTCACGTCTGTGAGATGTTACTACATCTCCTTTCCATTTGAGCAGAATTATTCCTGTTCATCCTAACTGCTAGTGGTTCTCAACCTTTTTTAGACTCAAGGCACCTCTTGGAAAAAGCAAGCTCTTTGCTTTCACTTGTTTGTTTGTTTTTTGACTACAGAGAAATAATAAAGCACTTCTTCTGTTGCAAATAACTCAGAAAGGCCAAAACAGGTCAGAATATTTTTGGCACTATGGATTCCTATTTGATATCTCTGGGTTTATCTTGTGAAATGTTTCAGTGTTTCCACATCAAACAGTGCTAATGCTGTGTAGCACCCCCACGCACCCTTAAAAAGATCTTGCAGCATTCCAGGGTGCCACAGTGCCCTGGTTGAGAATCACTGATATATGCACTTCCTTGTACCAAATTCATTTTATTCATTTTACTTCTTTAGTTCATGTGAGAAACTGACCCATAACATTTATGCTCTTCCATACTATCGCTTTTACTTAGTACTGCTCCTTTCAGTGATGCTTGTTGTTCTTTGTATTTTTCTTTTTAAATCACTTGTGTTAAATATACCCAAATGCCTTAGGAAAACCATATGAAGTATCCAGAATTTTATTTAACTCATTCCTACTAAAAAAAACCCCACATCTTGATAATTCTTTAGTAATGTTGATGCATCAAAATGCATTTTATTTCTAATAACACTCTGACAACACATCATTAAAAACAATATTAAAGTGATCAGTGGGACCTCTAGCAGGCAGGCACCTACCCAAATGTCCTTCCTGTATTTTCACCGATTTGGAAAGCCATCAGGTCCCTCAAAAAACCCTATCACATGTAATATCATTGTAGCACAATGATATTACAGTGATGTTATGCTCTGAAGATTTTACTACAGTAAAGTCCAAGAAAAGACGTAACCTAATTTGTGGACAGAGAGGCAGATCCAGAGGCATGCACTGGTGCAGTAGCACCTGCCTTTGATTCCTGTTCTACCTAAAGTTTAAAACCAAGTGCATGAGTGGCAGTAGCATTTCTAGTCAGGCAGCAGCAAGGAAGTCAACTGACTTCATTGCTCATTAACATCTACATGATTCCTTCTAAAGACTATTCCACAAGTGTTACTGTCCCTTTCTCCATTACAATGGACTTGATGCTCCACTAATCAAGCTAGCCTTTCTTCTGCAATTCTGCTGTTTGTTAGCTGCTGCCAGTAATATAGCTCATATTTCACAGCCTTACAGACTGTTTTTAACTCATTCCAACAAAGTTATATTTGTTTTTGCTTCAATCTTAAACTCTAAACCCCTAGCATATTAGTAAAGCTTCTAGTTTCTTTTTACTTGGAGAAAAATAAGTTCTGTGTTGTATGCCTCCCTAGGAAAGAGCCTGGCCAATTTGTTCCCTGGAGCTTCTCCTTGTTGCCTTTTTTTCTCTGTGCTGCCCGTCAGTGACTCGCCAGCCACACCTTGATGGAATAAACTAATTTGGGCCCAACCTCATAGGGCACCAGGGTTTCTGAACACCAGGTCTGTGTCTGGTCAAGGGCACCTTAAACCCAGCCCAAGTTTGCTCTAACTGCACTGGTTAGCTCTGGGCCCACTGTTCAGGCCCAGAGGCTTTTGTTGCAGCAGGACACACTCTCAATGCAGAATTGGCAGCCCTGAGTTGGGCCATCCCCTTCACTGCCTCCACCAGCCCTTCCTTGACAGGCCCACAGGCAGGCTGACATCACACCTGTTCTGCCAATGCTAGCTTCTCCCCTGCAGCACTGAACCTATCCCCCTCAGTCTCTATCCATTGTTCCTCATGAGCACTGGGTGTTTGGAGTACTGCCCTTGCCTGCTTTCCATGGCCTCTTTAACCCCTTCAGCCACTTCCCAATCCACTGGGTCAGAGACTCCCATCTCGAGCTCAACTCCTAACATAAGAATGTCCCTATTGTGGGTCAACCTCACCCTAGCCTGTTCTTCCTCCAGTCCAAACACAAACACCAAAAAGATAATAAAGGCATGGAACTTATCTGTCTCGCCGTGGTGCCACTGCCAGTCTTCCCCATCCGGCCAGTGTCCGAGCCTGCTCTCTGTGGTCCCAGTTCTGGTTCCAGATCTGCTCTTCTCTCTTTTTCTGCCAGGAGTCTTCCCTCCTTCAAGTCTCCTGCAGCCTCTCTCCCCCTAACCCAGGACTAGGTTCACATATAGTGAACATGGATCACCTGACCCTTGTACTTCTGCCATGGATCCTTCAGGGCTGTCCACCCATGCTTGCCATCCTTCTTGTTCCTGACTCCTCCACTCAGTGGCATGCTGTAATAAAGGCCTCCTCAGATAAGAACGGGTGCATGTGTGTGGTGGGGGAGCGGGGAGAGAGAAATGGAGGAGAGAGCTAGCAAAGCAACAGAAGAAAGGAAGCAAAGGCAGGGCAGGGGGTACTAGAAGGAAGAAGTGTCCTGGGCCCCACAAAAATCAAAGAGCTACCCCAAACACCCTGTTCCCTCTAGTAATGAGGTAGGGGCCCCAGTACATATGGGTTGATACAGCATACCATCTGTACCACGCTTTTCAAAATCCTAGATCCACTCACGAGCCAGGCTTATCATTTTCAAATGCTTGTACTTAGCAATACTAAACTACCCTACCATAAACTGTTTTATTAGGTATTCACACTCTTTGGCCCAAACCTGGTGTCTCTTCTTGGCATTTATTTGCAAACAGCAAAATACGGGCTCTGTCACAGTTCTGGTTATGCTAAGCTGGAGATAAGTTAAGGTGCTGAAAAGCAGCTTGGGAAGAACAGGTCTTGCTGACCTCTGGACAACTTGAGAAGCAACGTCAAAAGTAAAAATCCATAAATGAGCAGAGAAATTGGTTCAAGAAGGAAGCAAGGAAAATGAATGAGGGCAGGTACCAAGTCGGAGAACTGAAGATGCTGGATGCATGAACTTGGCGAAAAGCAAATGTGGACATCTGAACAAATAGATAAAACACTGGCACAAAAGCCTGGGTATCAGGGATAAGTACAGGGGAGTGTAATGAACAGGTGGTGGCGATTCCTTGTCCTGGCAGTTTTACAGACTTGGGCTGAGGGTTAAATAGACTGAGAGGCTTAGACGTGTTAATCTGAAGTCAGTCAGCAGGCAGGGTAGACCCGCACTTTAATACCTGCGTTCACAAAAGCTCGGGCTCACTAGAGATCTTATTCCGTTAACCACAGAGGCGTGGACCTACCCCGCCCGCGCAGCGCATGACTAGACACATGCTCTCGTGCAGAAACCCGCTCTCTGGGCCTTTGCCACGGACCACAAATACAAGCCATCCCATTGGCACAGCACAGGGGGCCACTGGCTAGTACCAGCCTCCTGGGCCACCACGCTGCAGCACACAAAGGCTGGGGCAAGCAAGGGGCCACCTGAACACCTCCAAGCGCCTCAAGGGAACCAGCCCTGCTGGAGCCTGGTTTAGGAGAGGGCCGGGACCTGCAGCCCTCCTCACCCCTGACCCCTTCCCCCAACTCTGCTGCCGCTCGCAAGGGCTGTCGGGAAGGCTTTGGGCGGAGGGAGGGAGCAGAGGAGCTGCCAGCACCCAGCAGGGCTCCCATATCCACGCCAGGGAGCGGAGGAAGAGGCGCACAGCCCCACCCTCCCCAGGTGGGCGGAGCGGCAACGTCACTCCTAGAGCCGCAGGAGCTCCGGGAGGTGACGTGCGGAGGGCGGGGCATGCGCTACTAGTAAACCGCGGAAGGCCGCGGGCAGTTTGGGGTAATAGCCCGTACTGCGCGTGCGCGTGCGCGGGGGGTGGGGCCGCCTTGCGGACGTGGCGGCGGCAGGCGCGAGGGGGCGGC